CGGATGGATCCATAAAAAGGTATAAGACTCGTCTAGTGGCAAAATGTTACACCCAAAGAGAGGGTGTGGACTACAAGAAAAATTTTTCTCCAGTTGCAAGGTGTGCCTTGATTTACATGATTCTAGCTATTGTTACACATTTGAATTTAGAACTACATCAAATGGACATTAAAACTGCATTTCTTAATGGAGAACTGGATGAAGAGATCTACATGGATCAACCTAAGAACTTTATGGTGGTGGGTTTGGAAAACGAAGTGTGTAAATTCCAATGATCCATTTATGACCCGAAGCAGTCATCCAGACAGTGGTATCTAAGATTTCATCGAGCTATCACTTCTAATGAGTTTAGGATGATCGATAAAGACCATTGTGTGTATGTTAAGCGGTCTAAAGATAGCTTCTCGATTCTATTTTTGTATGTTGACAATATTTTATTGACTGGAAATAATAAGGAGATGACTATAACTACTCAAAAGTGGTTGTCCTCAACATTTGAGATGAAGGACTTTGGCGAAGTAAGTTATGTTCTCGGAGTTAAGATCGTAAAGGATCGTTCTAAAAAACTTTATCTCAAGAGACTTACATTAAGAAGGTTCTTGAACGATTCCAGATGCATAACTGCAAACCCATAGACACTCCCATAGCGAAAGATGAGAACCTAAGCTTAAAGATGTGCCCTAAGTCTCCTGAGGAAAATGAAAGGATGACTCGTGTTCCCTATGCCAGTGCTATAAATAGCTTAATGTACGTTATGATGTGTACCCGTCTCGATATTTGGTATGTGGTAGGCCTAATTAGTCGTTTTTAGTCAAATCCTGAAATAGTTCATTGGAAGGCAGTAAAAAGAATACTACGATATCTCGAAGGGACTACATATTATATGTTATGCTACCAGTCTCCAGATTTACAGATAGTTGGTTATAGTGATGCTGATTGACGTGGTGATATAGACATGGGCGGAGCCACATGGGGGCCAGGGTGGGCACTTGCCTGCCCACCCTCACTTTTGGACTACCTTAGATGAGGACCCATAAAATTATTTTATACATTATATTTGCCCCATAAATTTTTGAAAATTTCAATAATGATTCTAGTCTTTTCTTTTTTCAGTAAATTAGTGGACTATTAACCCTCTAAAAAAAATGTTAGTTTTGGATTGATTCAATGATCTATTTGTATATTGACGAAAATACAATATTTTTTTTTATCTAACACAATGTTTGTTACTTTTTAAGAACAATTTTTAGTTTTTATTTACCACTTTTTTAGTAATAGTAGTCTATAATCTAATAAAATATGATTATATATATAAAAGACAAAAGGTTGTAACACAAAAATATTTCAAATAGGGAATTTTTCTATAAGATTGATAATGATCTAAACTAAATTTTACAACTAAATAAAGAATAATTTTACTACGGACTTGTGATTGTGTGCATTGATAAAAAATTTAATTTACATTTAATTCATATACAATTAGGTTAAAATGTACTAAAAAAATTATTTTGTGCCATTTTGTTAGGATTTTATTTCAGTTAAATAAAATTAAATTTATTATTTCACAATAATTTTGTCTTGATTCTTACTTTTTTGTCCTTTTTTAACTGAATTTTTTTGTATCAATTTCAGCTAAATATTTTTTGTATTAGTTATATTTTGCTCTCCTCAGATATTTCTGGCTCCACCCCTAACAATATACATTATTTTTTTTGGGCATTTTTTTTATGTTAAATGGACTTCATGTATCAAATATGATATAATAAATATAAATACATTATATAGTGTGATTGATTAGGAGGAAAAAAATTAGAATGCGTAATTAAAATGCCAACCCTGAATAAAATTCTTGGCTTCGCCCTTGGATATAGATGAATACAAGTTCATATCAGGATATGTTTTCTTACTTAATGGTGGGGCCATTACATGGAGTAGTAAAAAGCAATCATGCATATCCTTATCCACCATAGAAATAGAATACATGGCATGTTCTGCTACTATACAAGCTGTTTGGTTAAGAAGGTTATTTCAACATCTAGGAGTTGTCACAAATACCTTGGGTCTAGTGACAATTCATTGTGATTGCATTACTGCATTAGCTTATGCTAAGGATCCTAAGTATTATGGAAGAACCAAACACATAGATTTAAGATATCATTACATCAGAGACATGATTGCACAAAAAAAATTAATCTTGAAACACATCTACAATTGAGATGGTTGCAGACCCCCTAACTAAGCCTATAACTAGAGATGTGTATATGACTCATGTTAGAACTCTAGGGCTTCATAGGTATTGAATATGTGCTAGAGATTGTATGGATTACACAGTCATTTGTATTAGCATTTTTTGGGATATTAATACATGGTTTTAATTGCAATTAAATGTTATATTACTTGATTACCTTGATATTTGAGAAAGCACACACATTATGTATGTCAGCGGGCGTGATTGACTCACTTACACGAGCATTTGCCTTTGGTGCTTGATATGGTGAGCAAACATGAAATACTCTAGCATATAGTATCGCTTTGTTTTTTATACAGAATGAGATCTGACATTTGAGGATCGATAATGGACACAACTCCATGTCCATTATGCCTGTGTTTGTTCATTAGCTGTGTTTGTTCATTAGCTAGATGCGAGATTATAATTTGGCGTCTCTGGAGGGCGAACAAATAGAGAACTGACACTTGTAGAGCGACTAGACTAAGATTTGTACGGTGTCTAAGTATGATGTATGCTCTCATTAGGATCGAGACACTCCACCGTAGCATGTATTTCATACTGCATGTGCTTGGCGACAATTAAGGAGGTTGTCATAAAGTGAATGAATTAATGTTTAAGCTATTCTGGCATATTACTTACGGTCATGAGTGATTCGGCCTTCCAGGACATAATTGGGAAAGCGGTTAATTTTGAACTAAGTGACATGAGAGCGAAAGGAAGACCATTTGGAACATCCCACAATATATTCACTGTCGACAACTTTAGGCGCTAGTTTAGATAGTGACAAAGTGTGAATGTATAGGCAAAAGCTTCGAGGAGTTATGCATGTTCTTATATTATGAGGAATTAGAGATGCTTGAACAAGTGTATCCGAATGGGTCTAGAGTACTTGAGACACCATTTTCAATTTTTTTAAGGTTGATGTCTCTATCCTGGCTCTGTAGAGTTTCTAGTGTAGAGCTCCCAAATTGCAGGTGTGTTCAACGGTCGCACGACCCATTAACCTATATGAATTGATGTTGATGCATATAATAGATTGAGAGATCGTATCCACCACGTGCGAGTGCAAGATGTTAGATATTGGTTGAGTCATGGACGCGAACCGGAGCGCCCATGGTGGGTTGACCCAAAATTAGAGAATGCCCAAAGGAGGATGTCTTTTGGAGGTATCATTTACCAAAAAGCATCTTTCACCCAAAATACATGTCCGTTAAATATTAACATATATGTCCCTATATGATGTGCCTGTTAATGACAACTATTGGTTGCTTATATAAACCCAAGGCAATCCAATAGATGACATCTCTGAAAAATAATTAAACGTTAAAGTCTCCTACTTTGTTTTTCTCTCTCCCAACATAACATTGAAAGGTTTTTGTGCTGTGGAAATTTGGTGTTGATTCCTATTGTATAATAACACTATACTGCTCGAGCAATCGAAGAAAAGACGTTTTCAGATTCTAAAGTACGTGGAACATCTTCAAACGATTTTTAGGATTAAAGCGAACAAGGTATGTCTTTGATCCTGTGTTTCCGCAATATGTATACGATTCCCAACACTCGTAAAAAGATAGTTTTGATAAAAATAGTTGTCCATCTAAAATAAACTAGAATTAATAGACACAATTTATTTTCTTTAAAGGGAAAAAAGTGAACTATAGTTTATTACTGAACAGCAAAGCAACCCTGCAAGTTATGAAGCGCAATCAAGCAATTTCAGATGAGATTAGTCAATTACAGATTTTGTACATGTCTCAGAAAAAAAATAAAATTTCAAGGAGCACCTAACAAGCATGCTAATTGATCTTTGCTTACACCACAGCATAAATGGGTAAACTAATCCTCACAAAAAATGCAGAAATTATACCGAAGTATAACAAAAAATGAAGAAATTTTAACGTAATATAACAAGAAATTATAGTTTCTTCATGCATCAAAAACACATGTACAACTCTGAACCCACACAAAAAATGAAGAGAAAGTCTCTGAAATATTATTCTATTAAAAAGAAAAAAAAAACACATGTCGTTTGTAATCGGCTATACTTAAATCAACTCGATATGCTTGCATTTGTCTACTTAGATTTATATTTGAGACTAACCTTTTTGTAGTCCTGCATGGAGGTTGAACATGAGCCTGAATTTGTTTCTAAGTATTGAGTGAGCGACGGGATCGTGGAAATCATGATAGTTTTGCTTCCCACACCAAGAACTAATGAACTTTATTCTTGGAAGAACCATTTCCACATGATCACCATTACCAGAAAAAGTTGTTATCATTTCATTGATTATCAATCATGCCTCGTCACTCAAGGTTCGAATACCAACTAATGTAATGGTAATAGAAGATACAAAGAAATAAACGTTTCTTTGTGTATTGAAAAACACACGACTTTGAATCCATATAGAAAAAAGAATAAAATTTCTAAATTATTATTAATAGAATTGAAAAATAAATCTCGTTGAACATGGGTCCAATTAATAGAGATACCGAAAACCCTAAATATTCCCGAAAATAGAAACACGTTCCTAGTTTTACGGACGTTACTAAAACAAATAAAAATATGTCGTTTGTAGTTTAGAAAAATTGACATGATTTAGGCAACTTTTATCACTCTAGAATAAAATAGAAGATACTACCACCATAAAAAAAATAAATAACCTTCTAAAATTGTTCTAAATCAGCTTACTCATAATTAGGTTAGCCGAGCAAAGTGCTTTTTTTTTTTTTTCTGTGCAAAGTACTAATAAATGGATTCAAAGTAAAAACTCTACAGTAACATGTATTTATGGATAGATAAATAGTGTGTACATAGTACCTGGGAGACATGATACTCGGGGCCATTAGTCAATGAGAATAAGATGAAACCATTTGAAGGCTCTCTCCATTCTATAGGAAAACAAAATGAAAAAAAAAAGTGAGTACTAAAGGACAGTTGAAAATTACCCTACGGCGATTGTGCCAAGTGCCTGATTAATCTCAGTCAATAGAAAAAGTAGAGCTCACTTATAGATGGCATCTTCCAACAAGGTTTTAGAGCTCCACCATGTTCTTTCCAAGGCCCTTGACTCGCACCAGAAAGTTTGACAATGCTTTGCTTTGAGACCTTGATTACATCATATTGAACACTTGATGTAGCTGGAATTTGGACCTTCGAAATGGGAAATACTATTAGCTAATTCCCATCAAATAGCGAATTCAATACCATTAGCTTACCCCAAACATGCACACATACAACAAAAATATAAATAAAAACTCGTTGATCTTGTGCAAGACACCTGCCTATAGTAAAATGCAGTAGGAGAAAAGTGATATTTTTCCCAAGGACAATGTGTAGATAAAGAGGATGAGAAATTTCCATGCATGCATACAATCAAATAACAAAAATATTCTGCCTCATTTCAAGGCTGAGCTTTTACCCAAACCCAACCGGTTTGGGAAAGCAACAGTAATAGTGTAATACTCAAAATCGGGCGGGTAGGAAGTACTTCTCAAATTCAGTCAATTTTAAAAATAATATTTTTGTGAATTTTATAAAACGTGATTTGGATAGATATCTTCAATAAAAATTTCAATTACATAGACGTTTTTAACATTTGCAGCACTCCCAGACTTCCCTTTTCTTCTCTTTTCTTTCCTTCCCTCTTATTTCCCCCCTTTATTTCCTCAGCAATCCCTAATCCAACTATCCACCACCATCAACCACTAACGTCCATAAGCAACCTCCAGTGACCACCAGCAACCTCCGGCGACCACCTCTACCTTCTCCCCAAATTCCTAACTCCCCAAACCCCACCCACAACCATTCGAAATCACCACCACCACCATCCGAAACCCACATCAGCAAAACCCACCATCACTACTCCCCATCCCCCTAATCAGTTGAGAACCAGACGAGGGCAGAAGAACACGCCACCGGAGCATGCCTCCACTACTATCCTCCTCCACCGAATCACCACCGCCATTGAAGCCACTAGAGTACCACCACCAATAAACCCATCCCCGTTGCTCTGAAAACCCCAAATCCAGCGATTCAGAATCATTTTGAACGATATTTGTCTTTCTCTATCTCTATATTATATCTCCCACAATTTTCGAACATCGTCTTCGCTCCATTTGAGAATTGTCACCGTTGATTATTTACCCAAATCAAAGCGGTTCTCACGCAAATTAACTGTATTTGCGACGACCACGTTGACATCGCAAAGCCAAGATATTATTTTTTGACTAAGATTCCTCCCAATGATCGAATTCCAGCTACCACAATCATGGGTTTTTTTAGGTTCTAGCAAAATAATTTTATCTATTCTTTAGCTTATTTTCATGTTAATTCAAGGGTTTAAGTTACATCCACAGCTCTTTTGGCCTTTTTCCTTAATTCACACATAGTCATTGAAAAGAGTAAATATTAGAGATACGTTCTTTTAAAAATTAGGATACCCACTTCAGATTGCGTACAGAACATAAAGATTAAAGACTATGATTTAACCCGGTCCTAATTCGATTAATTATGTGCTAATGTTATTATTCTAGCTGATGTTGTTGATAAGCATCATTTGGTGTCACGCATTTCTACTGTGATTTTGTGAATAAAGATTGGTTTGTCCCTCTAAATTTATATTGTGTACATACCCTACCAAAAGTATCATCTTTTTGTGTGAAGATGAATCTCTGTTGGTGCCATTTAGTGAGTCGAAATAAAAATTTATTGTTTAATCTATGAATTACAAACACTAATAAGAGATACGGATAGTATGCAATACAATAGAACTTCACAAACGATGACTCGCCGATGCATATATTTGGCCGGTTAAACATGTAGATTAGGCTTAACTACTAAACATGAATATTTGGGACGCTTTTTTGGTTTTGTTATTAAACATGTATTTTTGGTTTTCTTAATGGGTTATGTTTGAACTTTAAAGTTGAAACTTTGAACATGATCTATAGATTATGGTTTATCAATTCTTTGTTGAGGATCAGTTATATACTATAGAATTGTATTTTTTCTATACATCATTGTTAGCAACATAAATAGTTTAGTTGAGCTGTTAGCGATATACAAAATTAAGGAAGTTGTAGATTATAGATGGCTTATTAACAGGTAGTCTCTCTGACTCTGTCTCTCTCTCTCACACACATGCAATTTATCTGTCTCACGACTTATTAAACAGCTAACATATTTAAGTCTATTTTTCGACTTAAAAAGGACCAAACATTAGTTTTGGGCCTAGAAATCATATATACTGTAATGTGTCCATATGTAAGCTCCATTTGTGAAGCATATGTACTCTAACTGTGTCCATATCTATCCCTAGGTACTTGTTATTTCAATGCTTATTTGACAATGCGTATTGTTTGGAACGACAGGAAATTAAGTTACTATATTATTGTATTGGGGCGAGGAAATGCAATATGGATCGGAGGGGTTATGTTATGATTCCCCTCCTAAAGGAGAAATTGTTATAAATAGGCGCAAAAAACTCTTGGTGTTGTTGAGTAAAATTTACTTTGTAATGGGGTTAGACAAGTGGCATCACAAGTTGAGATTGATACGTAGATACTTCGTAACACTTGGACCAAACACAAGTATATATGTCAAACTAAAAATTGGGAACATTGAACTTGTGGGTGCTATGTTTTATGTGGTAGTCGACAACCACATCAAGCCTAGTATTGTTTTGTATGTGGAGACGAAGGACATCAATGCATTTGTAGGCAGGAGTCAAACCAGGGGGGTGCCTAACCACCAATAGAATGTCTTATACTGATTTGCTAAGACAAGAGACAGGTTCCCCGATAATTCCTACTTCCAGAGTGATAGGTGAATGTTTACCCCTGTGGGGATGTAGTTAATGGAAGAGTATTGCCAGTATAACTCTACCCACCCACATTATAGGCCCTAGTACCTATGGTGGATATTCTACCCCAATGAGTCAAAATTTTCAAATGGGTGAGGAGGGAATTGATTTGGGTAAAGTAGATGATGTGCACCAATCACTTATGCAACAAAGCCCAATCTGGGAATATAAAGAAATGTGCGCGAATGATACAAAGATGTCTTAAATGAAGAAGAAGAAGAGTATGAAAAATTACTGCTTCATGACTCGAATGATGATGATGGATTTAGTGAACCCAATAAGGCTGGTGACGAGGTTCATATGCATGAGCCTTACTCCCTTGTCTTCTCAAACATTGAATTTGGTGATTATTCTGAAGCCAATAGATTAGCATTGTTTACTAAATTGAATTTGTGGGATCTGACAAAGATGGAGTTGGTGAAAGGTATGGTTTTCAAGGATAAAGTTGCATTGTTTTGAGCAGTACAATGGTATTTTATCAAGATGAATCAGGATTATGTGGTGGTGGATGCCAAGACAACAATTTGGGTCCTATAGTGCAAGATGTATATGCAGTCTAACTAGAAGTGGAAACTACGTGCTTGTTTTAGGAGAAAACCAAATATTTTTAGAACACGAAATATGATGGACCTCATACATATTTATACCCTCAAATGAGTCGTGACCACAAGAAGCTTGATTTGAACTTTATATCTCATATTATACAGGGTCTTGTTCGTGATACCCTGTAATTGAAAATGTCAACTATTCAAAAACATATAAAGGATAAGTTTGAGTATTATATCTCCTATAAGAACGCCTAGATTGCAAGGAACAAGGCCATTGTCATGATTTTTTATGATTTGGACTCGTCGTATGACATGTTGCCAAAATCTATGGGCGTCATAAATAAGTATAACCCTGACTTGATTGTGAAGTGGTGATATGTATTTGAATCTGATGAGCAAAATGTGTTTTCCAGAGTATTCTGGGCATTCAAAGTGAGCATTGATGGGTTTACACGTTGCCAACCCGTTATCAGTATTGATGGGATCTTCCTCCATGGCAAGTATAAGGGGATGCTTTTACTTGTGACGGTACTTGATGCTAATAAGCAACTAAACCCCATTGCATTTGTTATCGTCAAAGAGGAGAATCATGGTAGTTGGGCTTTCTTCCTATATTACATTAGGCGATTTGTCGCGAGGTTCAGGAAGGGATATGTTTGATTTTCAATATGCACAAGGGAATAATTTTGGTGGTAAATATGGAAGATTCTGGTTGGTATCCGCTACGTGCTTATCATCGCTTTTGTCGTAGGCGCGTGTGCCGTAACTTTAACTCCAAGTTCAAGGATGCCCACTTGTGCAATCTAATGTGGAGAGATGGTAAAAAGCGACAAGTACAAAAGTTTGAGTCGATGATGAAGCAAATAAGTGCTGCACATGAAGGGGCAAGTGGGTACTTGAATAGGATACCAGTGCAGCAATGAACAGTAGCCTATGATAGTGGATGGCGATATGACATAAAGACGACCAACATTTCTGTGGTTTTTAATAATATTCTTCAAGGTGTAAGGTTTTTGCCCATTAACGCTTGTGTGCAATCGATCTTTTATTGGGTGACTAAGTATCATTATGGACGTCGAGATGAGACGGAAAAATGTAAAAAAAATGTTTTGGGTGCTAATTTGGTGACGGGAGGTGGTAATAAGCAAGTTGTTTGTCTTGCTGATCATTCATCCACATGTGAAAAATGGACAATATATAGAATTCCTTGCTCGCATGTGTTGGTTGTATGCTCTTTCTCCCAAGTTGGTTTTCAAGATTTTATAAATCCCGATCACAACATCAATTATTTAGAGAACACATGGGCGCACAAAATGTTTCCTCTTGAGTATGAAGGTTATTGGGATAATCCTGAATGTCCCAAATTAGTCCTTGATCGTGACCAACGATGAGACTTGATTGGTCGTCCAAAGACCTGCGCATATGCAACGAGATGAACTTCCCACCTGAGGATCATAATCATATACATTGCTGGTTGTACGGCAAAGTGGGTCACAATCATCAAAAGTGTCCATTCACAAACAACTGAGCTTCATCATCCCTTCACTAAAATTATGTAGATTTGTATTTTTTTTAACTTCTACTATGTTGTAGTGAAGTTTGAAGCGGAACTTTTAAATGTGTGATATGTCGTAAACGGTTTTAGGTAACGTTTTAAATATTATTTGTTGTAATATTAATTGTGTGATATCTCGTATGTTCTTTCAACCTCTTTGTAATTTTAAATTTGGGCTTTATTAAAA